CGTCCGGGCCAATCTGGGCCGGGCCGCCCTCTAGTGGGGAGCGCGCGGTGAACGGCGATTCCTGCGGCGACATCTGCATCCCCTGCAGACCGAGGGGCGCAGGGGGTTAGGGCGGCGCCCTCCGGTGGGAATGGCAGAGCTGCTCCCGGTTGCGCCAGGATTGCAGGCTGGGGGCAAGGATACTGTCCAACTGGAGACAGACCACCAGTCAGCAGCCAGAAAAATGCCGGCCTGAGGGCAACGGGCTGACGGGAGGGGGGACGCAGAGGAAGCGGTACCCTGCCCGGGGTCTGCATGAGCCGTGCTGGGAGGTTAAGAAGAGGGGCCTTCCAGGCAGAGGGGCCAGCCAGGCAAAGGCCCCGGAGCACAGGAGTGGACAGGCCTTCACCCAAAGGAGGCCCACGATGTCTGTGATGGCGGTGGCTGGGAGGGCGCAGAGGTCGGCAGCACCAGCCCCCAGCGGCCTTGGGAATCGGAGGCTTTGCTCTTGGTGTGATGGGGGCACTGAGGGTGTTTGAGCAGGGAATGCCCTGGGCTCGCTCCTGTTTAGGGGGTCCCCGCTGTTTGGGGAGAACCACTCTGTAATCAGAGTGGAGGCTCCTGCCCTCATCCAGCATGAGGGCCTCAGGGGGGCTGCTGAAAAAAGGGGGTCACTTTGGGGTATGTTTTGAAGCTGAGATCTTGGTGATGCGTGAATATGGGCAGGGAGAGGGAGCATCAAGCATGACTCCTGGGTTTCTGGCCTGAACATCTGGTTGATGGGATGGTCGTGAATTGATCCAGGAAAGACTGGAGAAGAGTGGGTTTGCGAGGAAAACCACAGGATGGTTGGTGGGCACGCCACTCTGGAGATGCCTGTTAGACATCCATCCATCAGAGGGGGGGCGGGTCCGCCTCGGGGTGGGGGGGTGTGACACGGAGTCTGGGAGAGAGAGCAGCCCTGAAGCCGTGGCTAGAGGCAGAGCGAGAGGATGGTATTTAAGGCCACGTGCCCGGATGTGATAGCAAAGGGGAGCTCAGAAGTCAGGACTGCGCCCTGGAGCACCTCACTGCGTGGAGGTAGGAAGACGGAACAGAACCTGTAACAACAAATGGACAATTCTTTTTTTAAAAAAATTTTTTTATTGATTTCAGAGAGGAAGAGAGAGAGAGAAACATCAATGATGAGAGAGAATCATGGATCAGCTGCCTCCTGTACACCCCACACTGGGGATCAAGCCCGCAACCCGGGCCTGTGCCCTGACCGGGAATCGAACCGTGACCTCCTGGTTCATAGGTCGATGCTCAACCACTGAGCGACACAGGCCGGGCCAAATGGACAATTCTTAAAGGTACAGCTCAATAAATATTAAAAACCTGTAGACACTTGTGCATCTGTCACCCAGATCAAGATGTGCAGGACACCTCCCGGATATCCCCAAGATAACTGCGACTTGATTTCTATCACCAGGGATTCCTTTTGCCTGACAGAGGTAAACAACTTCTGAGACATTTTGTTGGTGGCTGGGCTCAGACTTTGTAGGCAGATAACGTTCTGACAGGGGTGGCAGCTGGAGTTCAGACGCAATGGGTAGCCCGCCGTGGGCCCAGTGCTCCTGGGTACCGTCTTGTTCCGTCTCCAAGGATTGTATGACCAAGACTTCCCTGAAGCATCTGCAGCTTCTCCCCTCACACCTCCTTCGGGTAGTAATGAACAGAGGAAATCCTTGGTAGCAATGAAAAAACGGGGTTTCACGGGCCTCTGGATGCCTGTCTGGAGTCTAGAGCTCAGTCCGGGGGAGTGTGGGGGGGGGGGGAGGGAGTGGGTGATGGGTGGGGCTACAACCTGGGAGGCCCAGGAGTCCCGCCTACCCAGTGTGTTTGAGCAAGTCACCTGGCAACAGGTGGGCCTGGCAGAGGCGGCTGGCTTTCCGAGTCTCCTCCGCTGTCCTGTCCGTGTCTGTGGCTGCGATGGTGCTGCTCAGGCCCCTGGCAATTCTTCTTGCTCTGGTTGTCTCTGGTGAGGAGCTGGTGGGTGGGGAACCCCGTTCTTCCCCTTCCACACACTCCACAGGGGAGGCCTGAGCCTTCATGGATAAGCTGCCGTGGAGGGGGGGCTGGGGGAAAGCCAGGAGAGGGCAAAGGTCTGAACCCCGACCCTCTCTCCTATCTTGGCTTCTTCCGCAACCAAGTCCTCACTCCCAACCTGTGACATGAGCTGACCTAGGGCTGGGTGTGGGGGGACGTGCCAGGCCCCGTGGCAGAAGGCAGAGCTGTGCTCCTGGCGGGGTTCCGTGTGCAAGGGGCCCTCCGGCCTGACGGCCTCTCCCTCCCAGACCTCCACTGCCTGCCCTGGTTCGTCAATGTCTCCGAGAGCCAGGGGCCCGGCACCATCCTTTGGTCCTTCTCCTTCAACTGCTCTTCTTACACGCCCACCCTGAAGCTGCTCCAGGTGCAGCCACCCAGCACCTTCTTCAACCCCCCCAGCCTGGCCAGGTGGCAGGGGCTCTATGTGGGACAGGTAGGGTCCTGGGACCAGCTGGAACCAGGGGGAAGGCAGGGCAGACCTACACCCACAGAGCCAGAGGTGGGGCAGGGGGAGGAAGCCCAGCCCCCACCGGCCCCGCTCACCTGCCGCAGCTGACCTTGAGCAGCTCCGCCCGGCTGGACGCCCTGGCCGTGAACCACTATGAGCTGCAGCTGCAGGTGACATGCGGCAGCGACGTGACCGAGGGACCGCTCTCTGTGGGTGTGCGGCGGGACCCTGACCATGCCCAGTGTACAGGCCGGTTTGTCAGC